GTAGCTCTGTTTTATGATTATGTTATAAATACGAAAACGTATCTCAATTATATAATATAGAATAAATATAGAATATAGAAGATTAATATAGATCGAAACATAAAAAATGTAATTTAATTATAGAAAATAGTTATAATAATATAATAATAAAAACACATAACACTAAATTAATGGAAATAATAAAAATATTGTTTAACACGTATGAGAAATTTAGTTTACCGATATTATATTGTGTAATTTACACAAAATATAGTTCATATTAACAAAAATAATAAAAACTTATCTTCAAATGTGTTAGCAGGTTAGAAGTGTTTTTTCCTGAAGTAGAAATAGTCCACCCGCAATATTTACACTTTGCCTTGATGTGACCAGATCTATCAGTAGGAGGTATGAAGTGTTCATGTATCACTGAAGGCAATTTAGTAGCGATCTCATATTATCTTAATTAAGTGGCTTGACTGAATTAATAACCATGTAATGCAATAACTTTTAAAGTGGTTGGAGTGTATTGACCTGATTTAACCTTCTCGCCGGGGAATCCTTTACTGCGCATGTCACGATGTTTTTAGTAAGTTACATTCAAAATTTAATTAAACTACTTTTTATTCATGCTATACCAATTAGTATAGCATACAAATAGCCTACAAATTGGTTTGATTGCATAGCCATCGAATAGAAAATCAGACCGCTCTTGCCACACCACCTCCCACATCATGTCTTTCAGGTTTTGTCAATAGTTCTGTCTGATATTCAATACTATATTAGTTATAACCAATAGAAAGCCAATTTGTTTATCTATCAAATGACATATTATATTCCGTTGTTTCCCGTGGGAACGAAATTTGTACTGAAAAAGAAATCAACGTTCTGCTGATGTAATTATGACAGTCTAGAAATTTGATTAGTACAAAAGTTGACATTTACTCTTACAATATTAAGTATTCACTAAATCATTCAGCGAATCTGAATACTATGCCACTGAATTCGAATACTTTAATTTTCTCGACCAAAGTCTTCGAATAAAAGTACAAGTACTCCCAAAGCTGTATTCGAATGCATTCGAATACGAATATCCCATGTCTAACAGCTGTTCAGAATTTTGGGTTTGAAAACTTTTTTAATTGTTATTTGCAAGTTACACAACATAAATGTTACAGAATGGTAAAATGTAAATTCTACAATATGTGTGAGTTAAACGTTGTTGAAGTAGAATTAGAAGTTTAAAGAGGAATTACTATGGTATTTGCTGGTGGTCCCATCTCTAGTGATACAGTAAAAATGTTCTAGAAAAATGTTCTCCAGTTCTTCATCACCCTGACGTACTTATGGTAAAGTCTTCCCTGAAGGTAACCACTTAGTTGTTCTTTGGCCAACATATGTCCAAAGCAGAACATGGTGGATAACCTTGGTTTGAACTACTATTTTTCTGGTTTCTTCTTTGCTGTACTTTAGTTTGGTTGTTTTTATTATCTTGTGCTACCATCCTTATTGCCACTGAAAGTTCAACCTCTGTTGCTATGATTGTCGAAACTACACAGAAGTTTATGAAGTCTATAGATTATGAAACTATTTGAAGTGAGTCTAACTTCACATCTGTATTTATTCATGCAGTTGATTCCCAATATGCATTCTTTGTCACTGTCAGTCTGTTTGTTTGTTTTTTTGAATTTCCCGCAAAGCTACACGAGGGCTATCAGCGCTAGCCGTCCCTAATTTAGCAGTGTAAGACTAGAGGGAAGGCAACTAGTCATCAACACCCACCACCAACTCTTGAGCTACTCTTTTACTAACGAATAGTGGGATTGACCGTCATATTATAACTCCCCCACGGCTGAAAGGGCGAGTATGTTTGGTGTGACGGGGATTCGAAACCGCGACCCTCAGATTGCGAGTCGAGCGCCCTAACCACCTGGCCATGCCGGGCCACAGTGTCAGTCCTACACAGGTTGTGTAGAGAAGCTTCCCACAGTGAGAGTAACTTCTAGCTTTTCTCTTGCTAACTCTTTATGTACACATATTGAACAGATCAAGCCATCTACTATTTTACCTTTAGAGGCAATTGCCCAGTTTTCATTACAAGCTTAGGTCAAACAAATGTAGCTGTAGAGCCAGTGTCAATCAATATTTTACAAGACTTCCCATCACTGAATCCTTTAACTCGTATCGTTGGTTTATTTTCAAGGGCTAATTAATCACATCCTGGGATGTACTGTCCATGTTTTGCACGTTTATAGTAGATACCTTTTCATGTTATCTTTTAGGAGCAGTTTCTGTTTTCTAAAGGCTTTTGTCTGCAGTTCCTGACAAAATTCCATATTTGGTTGAAACTTAATATTTTGTCCTGTGGTTTAATTGTTCCATTCTGAGTAGAAATTATCTAACTGTTACGTCTCTGTTCGTTTGTTAATTTCCCGTAGAAATTCTTCCCGAGAAACTTCAGCGATACAAGTCCTTTATTAAATAAAACTAGTTTATTCTTTCTCAATACAACTTTGCAATACACTTAATTTCCACAGTTTCTTTAATTTAAACACACGCTATAATTCACAACGAACGATTCACGCACTTTACTTACTACCGCACTTGACTCAGTTGTCCGTCTCTATTTCTGCCTGTCTGCAATTCTATTCCGATTCATTGTCTGGCGCACTTATATACAAGAATAGATAGCGCCTAGCAAATACTGGATTATTCGTTATGTTCCCCGATCTTTCTAGAACTCATTACGTGTTACCAGCGTCACGTGACTTCCGCTGTCGTAACATAACTAATCCTTTGCTAGACCTTTATTAGAAAGAGATGATGTTTTTTGACACTCCTATAATTCCTGAATAATATCTTTAGTTGTTTATCTACAACTTTAACTTATTCAAGTTACATTTCCAGCTGAACAATTTCCCTTGAAAATACACACCTACTTTTCTTTAGTTTTATTTATGAACTGGTCAAGTGACAATGAGTCCATCATTTCACAGGGAGCAGCTGGATCAAATAACCGGGTAAATCTCTCGATATCTTTAGCAAGTTTGGCTAAGGTCTCGTTTTCAGTCTTACATTCCTTTAGAAAATTCCCTCTGAAGTTACACTCCACACACGTTTAATATCCTCAGGAGGCCACCAATTCCAAAAAACAGTAACTATTTTCTATAACCTAACTAATATTTTATATTGCGTAAAATATCCTAAAAACTTTGGAGAAAATTCTAGATATTAAGTCACTTTCATCACCATACTTCAAACCTCCATCCATCCAACCAAAAAAAATACAAATTTTTAAAACATCGAGATTAAAAATATAGCCCATAGTTCTTTACCATAAAATATAAACATCAAAACAACAGTTGTTGCATTTGCAGTAATAGTAAAAATTTCTATTGAATTCATAACATACTGAAATGACACTATCGAAAACAAATACATTTTAATATATACATACTGTTGCGTCAGCGAGGTCACGTGAC